GAAGTATAGATCTTAGAAAATATTGTTTTTTAATTTTAATAAGATATAAATTTAAGTATAAGATCGTATAGTTCAATCAGTTAGATACGTGATAATTCGTCGCAGAGATCCGGGTTCGCACCCCGCAGCCATTATAACTTTTGTTCATCAAACTCTTTTTACTGATAGCATTTTTTGACCTCCATGTTCTATATTACAGATCTTTCGTCACCTTCATAATAGTGACAACCTCTCTTCTGTTAGTTATTCTTTTAAGATTGAGTTCATTGTGCTTAATTCTTCACGTTTCCCTTGCTTTACTAAGTTCTACTTAAATTATGATGAAATGTACGTAAAACAACCTTTTCAAATAAAATAAATCATTTTGCTTTAAATCTTATGCTTTTTGTACTAGACATCTGTCCTAAACACTTTGTAATAATTTCTAGCTAACTCTGAGTCTAATATAATCATTTCTGAATATAATTTCCCTGAGGCTCCTACAGCCTATTGTGTTCCATTAAAAGTAACTAGTTTTCGAGTCCAGATATTTATAAGCAACTAAAGGTTCGCATTACTATTCATTTTCCTGATATATAGAATTCTATTTGCATACGTATCTCTTTCTGTAAATTCTGTTTTATATAGTTTCTTAATTATATAATAAATAAATATTACTATTCACTTAGTTGAATGAACGTATTGAATGAATTCAGTTAAGACATTTGGCCGCTGAGACCCAGGTTCACATCCCGCTGTTTCACATATATTTCTTCTCTTTTTACTCTTTCTGATATCATTTACCTTTAGAGAGATTTCTCGTTCTTTATAATAAAGTATTTAATTGTTTATCACACATCCTCTTTATACTTTTTAAAAAGAAAGGCATACTGTTTATCTGTTTATTGAGAGTCAAACTTAACGGGATTTTACTGTATATATATGTATATATATATATATATATATATATATATATATATATATATATATATATATATATATATATATATATATATATATATTAGGTATATATATATATATTAGGTATATTTGTATAAACATTTGAAGAATCATTTGACAACATTTTTTTATAATTTTATTATTTATTATTTAAACTGTTAACAGTTAATATCTTAAATATATCGTAACATAAAATCTTTTGCGTCTTTTTCGTAACTGCACATTCCGGAATGCTTTTTCCGTAAGGAACTATTTCGTAAGTATTCTTACAAAATGATTTGTTTCGCAAGTTTTCTTTCGCAATGCTTTATAAAGGAATTTTATTTTTTTGTATTTTCGTATAGCGCGTTACGGAATGTGCATTTTTGCATGTGCAACTTCCGCAATAACAATTCTATTACGGTAGATAAAGGTGCGAAATTTTCGCAAGTTTTGTTTTTCGGCGAACAACCCTAGTTTTGCATCCATTTAAAACAAACGTGACATCCATTCAAATTTAAAATAAATTCCATTAAATTAAAATAAATTAATATAATATTAATAAAAATAAATTTATATAGTATTAGATAAATAAATATATATAAAGAAGACCTTTTTTTAAAAAATAATATAGAATGTTGAGATTTCGCATGCGTTAAATGTTTTAAATGAAAATCACGATTGTTTTAATTGAAAATCACATTGTTTTAATTGATTGTCGCGGTGTTTTAAATGAATGTCATGGTTGTTTTAAATGGTTGTCATGATTGTTTTAAATGGATGTAAAAACCGGTAAATGTTCAATTGATCAAGGAATATTTCCTGATCAGTTGAAAATAGCGAAAGTTAGACCAATATTTAAAGGAGGAGAATTGTTGAATATCGGTAATTACCGTTTTATTTCTGTTCTCTCTGTTTTTTCAAAAATTTTAGAGAGAATTCTTTATAACAAAATTTTTCAACATCTGTCGAAAAATAATATACTCTACAAAAATCAATAAGGTTTTAAGAAAAATAACTCCACTGAACACGCTATTCTTCAAATAACTCAGTGTATTACAGATTCCTTTGAAAAGTCAAAACTTACTTTAGGAATTTTTGTTGACCTATCAAAAATGTTTGATACAATTGACCATAACATCCTTTTCAAAAAACTAAAATATTATGGAATCACAGGAAATTTTCTTAAGCTAATAAAAAGTTAATTAAGCAATAGAAAACAATTTGTTCATTTTGACCAATCATCTTGATCTAAATTATTAGAAATAACATGAGGCGTTCCTCAAGGATTTGTACTCGGACCTTTACTTTTTCTCATTTACATAAACGACTTTTATGAAGCATCCGATTTGATGACAGTTATGTTTGCTGACGATCTCATAGCAACATAACGACACTATTTTCTTGTATGGACATTGAACTAAATAAAGTTTCCCAATGGTTCAAATCAAACAAACTTTCTCTGAATATTGAAAAAACAAAATGGTCTCTTTTCCATTCTAATTCTAAAAAACGTCTAATTCCAATAGAGTTTCCCAGTCTTAATCCCAGTCCAAACTTAGTCCCAGTCTTTTTATTGATGGTGTTTCAATTAGAAGAGCAACACGTACAAACTTTTTAGGGGTATCATTTGATGAAAATCTCACATGGAAAAACCATATCGAAAACATATCCTGCAAAATTTCGAAAAGTATAGGTATGTTGTATAAAGCAAGAAGCATGCTAAATAAACATATTTCAATTCAACTATACTACTCATTCAATCATTGCCACGTAAACTATGCGAATGCGGCTTGGGGTAGTGTTAATAAAAGTAAATTAGAACCTCTTCATTGCCAACAGAAACATGCTGCACGTTTTTTTAATTTTAAAGACCGTTTTGCATAACTAAAGGTGTTTCCACTCATCCGTTTTTTCACGGGAACGGGATAGGAAAGGGAAAAATAATCACGTGAGCATGCGTAGTTTTCTTTCAGACATATTAAAACTTATACTACGCATGCCCACGTGATTCTTTTTCCCGTCCCTTTCCTGTTCCCGTGAAAAAACGGATGAGTGGAAACTTTCCTTAAGCCTCTCTTTATTGAATTGAATATTTTAAACATATTTCAACTAAATGTATTTAATGTACTGTGTTTTATGTTTAAATGTAAAAATCGTACAGCTCCGGTTTCTTTTCACAATTTATATTCCTCAAAAGAAAAAAATAAGTATAATTTACGAAATGATAATTTCATTCTACAACCTGCTCTTAAAACAAATTTAGGCAAGTTTTGTATTTCTTTTCGAGAGGCGTTTCTGTGGAACAATATAGTTTTGAAACATTTTGATTTTTTTCAAGACTGGAACTTCTTTGCATTTAAAAGAAAATTAAAAAACATTATTCTCTCTACTGAAAACATACTTTTCAGTAGAGAGAGTATATTTTGAATTTTAATTACTTTGATTTGTTTATGTTTATACGAATTCTTATATCTAAAATATTTGTTTGATCACATACTTGTATATTTGAATTTAGTTTTGTTAACTTCGTTTTGACCGGCTTGTGTAACAAGTTGATTTATACATTTTATATTATTCATTTTGCATTTTATATATTCATGCAAAACGTTAATTTTTACTTGTAACTTTTATTTTAAAAACTTTATTAGACTTCGTTTATTTATTTTATATACATTACGAAATTGTTTTTAAATACGAAATGATAATCAGTTGTAAGCGTTTCTTGATGACAAGATCATACGATATTCAGCAAGCCTCCGCGTTCTTCTTTTTTTATATTTAACAAAAGTTGTCATTTTTATTTGTATGCATTTCTTATTTCTTTTATTTGATTGCAATAGTTATTTTGAATAAATAAAAAGAAAGAACATAAAAAAAAATAAATAAATAAAATATCTATCATAAAATGCCGAAGCGAATGACTGGGAGGGCAAGATATTTGATTCACATATTAAGATGCCTAATTTTTATGTAATCTAATAGCTTTTTAATTATTAAAGATATTTTTTTATTTACAATAGTTATTAAAAAAAAATTCGTTAAAAAGTTTAATTCACTGGTTTTAAAACTAGTATTTGTTAATGAGGTATGATTTTTTTTTTTTTAACATTATATTTTTGTCGTTTAATAAGTATTACAGTTTACAAAAATTTACAATTAAGTTAATGGCCGAAGCAATAATAATAAGCAATATATATATATATATATATATATATATATATATATATATATATATATATATATATATATATATATATATATATATATATATATATATATATTTTATATACATTACGAAATTGTTTTTAAATACGAAATTATTGTCAGTTGTAAGCGGTTCTTGATGACAAGATCATAAGATATTCAGCAAGCCTCCTCGTTCTTCTTTTTTTATATTTAACAAAAGTTGTCATTTTTATTTGTATGCATTTCTTATTTCTTTTATTTGATTGTAATAGTTATTTTAAATAAATAAAAAAAAAAAAAAAAAAAAATAAGCTGCAGATGGTCTGAAAAAAAATTAATAGAAACTATTAAAGAAAAAATAATCAAGCCCCTTCCCACTTAAATAAAAATCGTTAACTCAAAGCAAAGTTCATTATATTTTACTCTTTTTTAAAAATTATTGAAATAAAGCGAAATTATTAAAATGGTTGAAGTGAAATAGACTTAGAATGACCAGAATGCGGGTCATGGTAATTCCACTATTCCCCATATTTAAGTCATCTCATGTTTTTTTTGAATTTTTTAAACCTCGGGTAATTGATAAAGACATTTAAGCAGGTATTCTAAATGTTATTTAGACAGCTACTGATATTTAATTAGTTGATAAATAGTGATTCGCGTAACGGCTACCGAAACGTCTAAAAAATTTTTAAAGTTAGTTAAACTTTTTTTCGTTCAAAGTTTTAAAAAGTAAATAATGAGTATAGTTTTTGTATATGGATATAGTTTCTTTTCTGCCGCTAACTAAAAATTATTGAAGTAAGGAATATGTATAGAAAAGGTCGGTGTGGAATAGATTTACAAAGACCCGTATTTTACGGGTCCGGATTGCTAGTTTGAAAAATAATACTTTATTTTATTGATAATGCAATAAAAAATGAGGTTTAAAATTAACAACTACTTTATGCTTATTATTGTCGCACTCACTTGTGCGGACGATGACTTCTTGTTGTGGCGGATATATTCCCGCGCTTTTCTCGCTTCTTAGTAGCGTTGTATTTCACGAGCACGTTTAGTTATTGTAACGCATTGTTGCACTGTCTTGTAAATTATTGTACCTGAAGATAAATACATACATAAAACTGTTTAGTTAATGAGTAACTAAATAATTAGTAACACAAAAAGTATTATTAAATTAAAAAATAATTAAAAAAAAAATCAGCTTTTTATTCTACTGATTAGAAGCATGATAATTACGTCATAATAATGGAAGCATACGTCATGATAAATACGTCATGATAATAGAAGCATACGTCATGATAATAACAAAAATATATTCATTTTGTAAAAGGTGAATGTTTTAGTTATAAAATGGTAAATAATAATGTAATTTTTGAGAATGTATTTTTTTACTTTTGTCCATCACTGTGTGTCATTTAAAATCTTTTTACTTGACGTGCGAAATAGTGTTGCATTAGCTCGTTTGAAAGATAATACTTGGTTTTATTAAATTATCCAATAAAAAAAGAGGTTTTAAAATTAACAACTTAAAACTCTATGTTTATTAGTAGTACAAACGCAAAAAATATAAAAATAAAAAAAAAGTTCGAAGAAAGACTTAAAAAGAAAAAAAGCTTCTTATTATACAACTTAGAAGCATACACCATGATAATTATACAAAAATATATACATTTTATAAAAGCAGAATGTTTAAGCTAAAAAATGCTATATATTAATAAAAATTTTTAAAAAAATATTTTTTTTTTTGTTTACTCAAGCTTACCACCTGGCCCACTGCCACCTGGCCACTTACCACCTGGCCCACTGTACAATCAAAAGTTTAAAATTTTAATATTTATTGTTCGTTAACTTAAAAATACTCGTGAAATTATTTTTCATTACATTCTCCCGAGGTAAGCAAATGCTTCTGTCTCCAACTTGGCGGGCCCAGCTGGCTAGGAGGTAGAGGCCACAGAAGGCGACCTCCAAATCTTTTTGCTTTCAAAATTTCATCTGGAGACGGTTACCAATGGCTTCCGCCTCACTATTAACATCGGTTTCCAAAGCATTTTACCCCCAATAAAAACTCTGGCTGCGGCCGCCTAGAACATTTTATCACTAAAATTTTATTAGGAGGCCGCCGCCAATGACTTCTGCCTCCCTAAAAAGTTGACCTTTTAGCAAAAAGTTACTTTGCCACCGGGCGGCATTCCCAACTCTGGTTAATAGAAAACATATCAGTATTAACAGATGTTTTTTTTTTTTTTTTTTTTTTTTTTTTTTTTTTCGTAACTTTGGCTATAGCGAGATGGCGGCATATGATTGTTTTATCACCAAGTCCCTAAAAATCTGTAAATAACGTATACACAACATTAAAAATATAGTATTGAGATACATAATATTAGGAACATAAAATACAAGAAAAATATTTACATTTTGTATGTTCACATCTATAGATATAGAAATATACATATCATTAAGCATCATCCATAAAAATTGAAAAATACAAAAATAGTAACAAATATCGAAATTTATTTTGAAGTAAATGAAGTTTGAGAAGAAGAAAAAAATGTAAATATAAAAAAATATTTCAAATAAAGTTCGAAACCATGCTTTTAAATGCCTTAATCAACTTGATTAGACAAAATTAACAGGCTACGCGTTCTTGTTAAATGCGTGGCTGCTTTTGCAAAATCTCTTTCTCTGATCTACAAGTGCTCATTTGTAATTAGCTTAGTGGGCGCGGGACGTAAAAAAGACGTAGTGGAGACGTAAAAAAGACGTTCTTTGGACATTCAATTAGCGTCCGTCCCATTTAAATTCTAAACGTCTTTTGAACGTCTTTTTCGCGTATATAAATATATATATATATATATATATATATATATATATATATATATATATATATATATATATATATATATATATATATATATATATATATATATATATATATATATATATATGTATATGTATATATATATATATATATATATATATATATATATATATATATATATATATATATATATATATATATATATATATATTATTTTATTTTCTGTTCATATAAATAACAATTTCCATTCATCAAAAATAAAATATAATTACAAATGTAATTATATTTTATATATCTTCTTCCATATTTTCATCCATATCTTCTTTGAGCCAGGGGCTCAAAGAAGATATGGATGGCAAAATACCAACCTAATCTTTTCATAGAGCCCCTACAAATCATAACAATAATATATGGTAATATATGGTTAATAAATCAAGTAGGAAATTTAGGAAAAAAAAAAAAGAAATAGTAAAAAAGAAGATATAATATTTAAGAATAAAAATAGAGAAAAAAGAAGATGTATCAATTAAAAGTAAAAACACCCTCAATTAGTCAAAAAAGAAGATATAATATTTAAAAATACATATAGTGAATAAAGAACATATAGTAAAATGTTGTAGTGAGGCTTTTGAGAAGATTCTTATTTCTGAAATCGATAATAGTAAATACTATTCAATTTTAGCTGATAAAGCATCTGATTGTCCCAATCTTAAACAGTAGTCTATTGTTATAAGATATGTAGGCAATAACTATAATACTCGTAAAGATTTCTTAAAGTTTGTTAACTGTCCTTAATTATTTAAATGTGCTCTTTTTTAAAAAAAATTAGAGGCATGTTTAAATAATTATCTTTCTGTTGGTAAATCCAAGCAAATCAATGTCTGTTTTACTTGTTGGGTTTAAAAACAGAAAAATGTAGACATTTTTTTTAGCTAAAGTCTCTTCATAGTTGATGTTTGAATTTTATTTCAATGTAACTTTAGTTTTAACCAAAATTTGATGGATTGAATTTTTTAGATTGTAATTAGACTCCAAGATAAGCAATACAACATGTCTCAAATTTCAGAATCTTGAAATTGACAATTAAACACGCTTCAAGAGATTAAACTTGGTATTGATTTATATCGCTACAACTGGTCTAATATTGCTTTTGAATTAGCTATGACTTTAAATGTAAAAGAAAACAAAAAACAAGAAAATGTAGAAAGCAAATCAATTATGATAATCATTCATCATCAGGTTATTTTAAGCTTTCTATCACTTTACCTTTGCTGGACCATCTTATTAATGAGCTTATTAATTATATAAGATTTAAACAGAAAGCAAGTTGGTTTATATGGGATGTTTGCAGCTCCAACTGTTTTGTTAAGTTACCTGAAAACTAAGATTTGCAAATCTACTTTCATGAATTTCTAGATATCTATCATTCCAACTCTGCATTCAACCTTTATTCATGCAGAGTTGGATTATGGAATCCTCTTCAGAAAGATCAGTCAAAACCCCCATCTAGTATTTTTTAAACAAAAGTCATGACAACGACTGATTTCCATCCCCCTCCTCCCCAACATTCTTGAATATTTTAAAGATTTAAATCTAGGTACGAAGAAATTAAAAACTTAGTCAAGAAGTAGAGTGTTAAAAAAGTCATTGAATGACCTAGCTTTAATGTCAATTTATACCGAAATTTTTTTTTTTTTTTTTATTTGCATTCACTCCCAACAAGGCTGAAAGCAACCACTATTAAGTTGGGAGTTACTAGGAAAAAAAAAAAGAACAGAGTTATAGAGCAAGGAAACGGTTGACAGAAGACTTGAAAAGTTGAAGGTTGTATGAGTCAGGAAAACATGAAGATGGGAGAGAGTTCCAAAGGATTGAAGTGCGGGGAAAAAAACTAGATGAATAAAAGTTTTTAGAGCATGCAGGGACAGATACAGTAAACGAATGAGACTTAGCTGAATGACGAGTAAAACGAGAATGAATTTTAGTTGATGGAACTAGAGATGATAACTCCTTTGAGCAGTGACCATGATAGTATCTGTAGAAAAGAGAAAGAGATGCAACTTTACGACGATGGGAAAGAGGTTCAAGCTTAGCAGATAGTCCAGGTCCAACAACATTTACAATGCGTTTTTGGACCTTGTCAAGAAGAGAAAGTGAATCGTTAGAAGAACCAGCCCAAATATGACAACAGTATTCCATACAGGGACGAATAAGAGATTTGTAGAGGTAGAGAATGGAATCAGAAGTAAGGAAATGGCGAGCACGATAAAGAGAAGCAACCTTAGCAGAAGCTAATTTAGCAATCGATTGTATATATGGTTTCCATGAAAGGTCAGTAGTAAGCGATAATCCAAGAAGACGTAAAGAGGAGGACTCAGTAAGAGGATTGCCATTCTAGATGTTGCCATTCTAGAAATGGTTCTAGATAAAGACAGGGTTGACAAAAGTTTTTCAGCTTCTGGAGAGAGATGTTTAAAGTTGCTATTCAAGCCTTAAATAATTGGCTATGATTAAATAATAATTATATTTATATGTGAAAAAAATAATTGAATATCTCTTATATTTACAATCATTTTTTTGTTTTTTTCATTGTTTAATTTTCTCATGGAGCATCTTATTTTTTATTTGTTATAAATGTTTAATAAATGAATTTATTTTCTATTTTGTGTACATTTCATAATCCTTGACATCTAAAATTTTAAATATTTTATATTAATTTGTTCTTAACTAAATAATGTAAACCACTAAATAAAAAATTTAAATGTGTGTTAATTTCGTTAGAGTATGCTATAAAAAGAGTGCTTGGTAATCATAAAAAACAAAGATGTAATAAATTAGCTTCCTGAGAATTCTATAGATAGTGAGACTGTTCAAATCTTTTTTTTTTAATATATATTTATATATAGTAGTATACAACTTTAAAGTAAATATCTTTTGAATAAATCACGATATCATATTGTTAATGCAGTAATAGTTGCATTTATTCTATTAGTAACAAAAATATGAAGGAAATAATCCAGAATTGGAGAGCTAACTTAAGGCAGCATTACAACTTACATATGGAGTGCAAAGTCCTATGGCTTACCTTCTAGTTGGTGCACATCGTTAAGTAAGTTAAACATTATGTCTAAATTACGAACAGAATAGCCAAGGCAAATATTAAAAATTTTACCATTAATTATTTTACTAGAATCCATTAAAAATAAATGAAAAATATGTGTGCAAAAAGTGAATTAAAGACGCTCAGATAAAAAAACTGTCTGACAGCGTCTACATGAC